TAAATTATTGAATCAATCAAAGTAATTGTAAGCCATTTTAAGAAAGGGAATCGCCTGAAGAGGTTTCTATATTGGAAAAATCACATTTGCAGTAGTGGAGGGAAAGAAGTGACGATCTCGAAGATCCGTCTATTTCTTTAGAATGGTTTATATTTTATATTAATAATTTTATAGTAACCATAGGGTCCCCGTTTCCTTTATTAAAGCTTCTATTCTATTAGCTGGCTAACCATAAAGTTGTTTAGCAGACCCTTCTTTTTCTTTCTCTCTCTCTCTCTCTCATTGTTTCCTCATTTTCAAAACAGAAATAAAATGTACATTTTCCTAGATTTGTGTATATTTTGAATAGCATCTTTGAAAGTAAAAGCAAAGGAAGCAGGATTGAGAAGTGAAAGCCATTAGATCTGATGCAGAACTGAAGAATGTTCCTGCCACTGTAAAGAGGAACTCCAGAGAAATTGGCTGCCTAGTGAGCCACGTCCTGTGCTGGGTGGAAATAGCTGGGCCCCGTCCATCCACTCTGCTTGCTCCTCCCTTGTCCTGTGCTTTAAAACTGAGGAAGAACCTGAAGCGGTTAGCAGGTGAAGGCTGCTGGTAGACTACACTCTTCATAGCTGGACAGCAAGTCCATTCTTGAAGGGTGCTATGAATGCCACATCTCTGTTTTCTACAGGAGGAAAGCATTCTTATTCTTTTTTTTTTTTTTTTTGGAGACAGAGTCTCATTCTGTCCCCCAGGCTGGAGTGCAGTGGTGTCATCTCAGCTCATTGCAACCTCCTCCTGGGTTCAAGTGATTCTCCTGTCTCAGCCTCCCCAGTAATTGGGATTACAGGTGCCTGCCACCATGCCAGGCTATTTTTGTATTATTAGTAGAGTCGGGGTTTCACCATGTTGGTCAGGCTGGTCTCAAATTCCTGACCTCATGATCTGCCCACCACAGCCTCCCAAAGTGCTGGAATTATAGGCATGAGATTCTTATTCTTTAAGTGAAGAAAGCTTCACATTTATACCAAAACCCGATAAAGACAGTACAGTGACGTTTAGAAATTCATCTCACTTAGGAAAATAGATTCCAAACTATTTAAATAAAAATATTGCCAAAATAAAAACATTATGCATTTGACCATGTGGGATTAACTTCAGGAAAGCCAGAATGTTTCAATATTCAGGAATCCATTAATCTAATTTGCCATACCTTTAGGACTAAGGAAGACAATTATATGATTATATTCATAGAAACAGAAAAGGCATTGGACAAAATTCAACACTGATTTTTAACAACAAATAATAAAAAGTTATTTATAAGTGGCATAAATATAATAAATAAATAAAACCAAGTATAATTGCTGGTGGGCATACAAGTTGATATATGGGCTTAAGAAAACTGTGTGACACAAAAATTCCATTCCTAGATACAAGATCAACATATACATACATTATCTCCTCATTTTCAAAACAGAAATAAAATGTACATAGGAGCAATATTCTTAATGGCCCCAGACTGGAAACCACAAAAATGTAATCAACAATGGAATGAAATAAAATAGAAATTGAAATATTATGCAGAACTGAAAAAACAGTTTGTGCTACTAATAATAGGAATGTATTTCAAAGAGCTAAAATTGAACAAAGAAAGCTAGACATAAAGAGTACATATTTTGTGATTCTATTTATATAAAGTTGAAAAAGTATGTGAAAGGAATTTATACTGAAACCCTTGTAATTTGTGATTATATCTGAGAAAAGTACTAACTGAGAAGGGTAACAAGAAGGAGGCTTGTGGGGTGCATTAACTCTGCTAGGTTTTAAACCAGATTGTGTCACCTAAGCATGTTCAGATTTTTAAAAGTCATCAGGCTGTGTATTAATATTTATCCATTTTACTATATGTATAATTCAATAGCAAGTATAAAATGAATAGGGATAGTGAATCATAATATATTAAATAAAATTCATGGGGTAATAGCAATACCCAACAACAGAAAGGAGAAGAGGGAGAAGTTTCATACACAGAAGAATGCAAGATAATAAGTGTAGAAGTGATGAGAGAATAAGAAAACCTCAGACTTTCAAACACCATGTAATAATTGATATAGGCATATAGTTAGTACTCCATAACAGTCAAATTATTTTTTTAAAACACTTTGGTTTTGTTTTAATTGTTTTCACACAATTGGAGAAGATCCAAATCTGTCTCCTGAGACCTAGGTAAACTCTAATGTTTTGCCTGTCTCACTGAGTGAGGATCCCAGCAGAGTCACACATGTAGTTCAGCTAAGACAATCAGTCCCTGATGTCAAACAATCTATGACCAGCTGGGTGCCAGGCAAATAATGGTAAAGACAACATATCATGTTGAATTTCAAATACATTTTAGAGTAAGAGTAAGCTCTAATATAATTATAATTATGTAATGTAAAACTAGTTATTTACTGTATTAGTCCATTTTCACACTTCTGTAAAGATACCACCTGAGACTGGGTAATTTATAAAGGAAAGAGGCATCATTAACTCACAGTTCCATGTGGCTGGGGAGGCTTCAAGAAACTGATTACCATGGCTGAAGGCAAAGAGGAAGCAAGGCACGTATTACATGGCAGCAAGAGAGAGAGAGAGCAAGAAGGGGGATGCACCAGACACTCATCAAATAGCCATATCTCGTGAGAACTCTCTATTACAAGAACAGCATGGGGGAAACCATCCACATAATTCAATCACGGCTCACCAAATATCTCCCTCCATACATTAGGAGTGCAATTCAAGATGAGATTTGGGTGGGGACACAAAGCCAAACCATATCATTTACTGACCAATGAATTGTTATTAGTGGACCTATAGGTGAGTTCCATTCAAAAATCATTTTAAATAATAAAGTTCAATAATTTATAACAATTGGTTATAAATGTTTATATATTTTTTAAAAATTATAATATGCAATGGTTTATTATTAAAACTCAAGCAGTATATTTATTCTTGGTATATTCTTACATATTTTAATAAACATCATATCTCCCTTTAATATTTTTACACTGTTTTTTTAAATATGTATGTTATTAAGTAGGGTCATATTATACCTATTTTTAAAATAAAATTTCCTGCAATATTTTACAAAGATATATTTTATGGTTAATAAATTTTAAATTCTTGATGGCTTAAAAAGCATAGAAATCCAAGATGAAATTGTATTGAATCCAGAAAATGTCTTCCAATTACATCAGTCACTAAAATATACATCTAATATAGAAAATTAGTAATATTGTTTTGTCTTCCCTCATTGTCTGCCACAGAAAACACTAAAAGTACAGTAGTCCCCTCATATCCAAGGTTTCACTGTCAGCAGTTTTACTTATCAACTTTCAACTGTGATCTGAAAATACTAAATTGAAAATTTCAGCAATAATACATAAGTTGTAAATTTTGCACCACTCTGAACAGCACAATGAAATCTCGAGTTGACTTACTCGGTCTCACCTGGAACGTGAATTCTCACTTTGTCAGACAGATGCACACTGCATCCACATCCCAAACCTTAATCACTTAGAAGCCATCTTGGTTATCAGATTTACTGTCATGGGATTGCTGTGCTTGTGACCAAGGAACCTTTATTTACCTTCATAATGGCCCCAAAGCACACAAATGTAAAACACTATCTTAACAGGCAGTATGGTCACCTTGGTATTCATAAGTGCATTTAAAAAGGTGTTTATTACAATCTTCGGTGTTAAATAATTGCATACCTCTGTAAAGGACCTTTTAAATAGATAATTTCATTCCTATTAGCTTTGGTATTATTCGTATATACAAATGTACCTATATTTAAAAGTAGCATTAATGAAGTGTCATCATAAGTGTTTTTTTTCTCCACGTGGTTGTTTTCCTCTGACCCTCTTGTGATTTCCTTCATTTTTCCAGCAGCATATTTCAATGTGACATGCATCATCATTTTTTTCTGCCATGCCTGTTTAACTGTCCTTAGGTAGTATTTATTTTTCATAAACGCCTCTGTGGCTCTGTGCCAGCAAAAATAAATATTAAACCAAAATTTTGCTAAAGCAACATAGTGCAGTGTATAATTCACTCAGGCTTGGGTGTCAGACAGGTGAATCTGTGTTTATTATATAAGGTCTCTAAAGTATGTGGAAGCTGCAGGTCAAATTGCACGTCTTCCACTTACTCACTGAGGAACCACATCTGTAAAATGTGAATAATAAAGAGTGAGGTTAAGCAGATGCTTACCAAATAGCAGCCATTATTATTTTCATCATTGCCATCCCTAGAGTATAACCCAAAGGAAATCATGCATAAACACATTGGTGGCCTGATTCTTGAATTCACACTGCTGACTTGACTCAATGCTTGTTTATTTCTGATAAAACACTAATGCTAGCAATGAAGCACTTCTTGTCATCTGGAAAATATACCAGAAATGCATGAATGAAAAGGAAGTATGAGGCCAGCCCACTTCTTTTTGCTGCCACCTTTAGTCACTAGGCTGAATGATAGGAAAGCAGAAGCTAAAACACAGTAAAATCAAACAAAAGACAAAACCTACATGAGGAATTAAGAGACTTCTACTGAAAAGAAAGAGCTTGGGTTTAAAACAAATCATTAGCTATTTTTGAGTGTATTTCTTGATTATTTAGCATGTCAACATCTCTGAGAAAGCAAAGCAAAGATTGTCAGCTAGAAAACAAGTTAGGCTTATTTAAAAGAAACAAAGACTTTCATCAAGTAAAGAGTTTCCATAACCACCTATTTTAAGATGCTGTAAAATGTCATAATTCATATTAAAGAAAGAATAATGTATCATATTGGAGAGGTTTTTTTCCAATTTTGTCTTTTTTTTTTTTGTAGGGAAAAGGTCATATTTTCCTGCAAGAAAAAAAAAACTGGCCAAAGACATATGAACCCTGTTCCACATTGCTATAGCATGGTGCATGAGATACACAGGCTTGAACAAATGAATAAATATTCATCACCTCTACCTTTTTCTTTTTTAGGTGCCTCCTATACTCCTTGATAAGCAGTTCTCTGAATTCACTCCAGACATTACACCAATCATTTTGGCAGCCCATACAAATAATTATGAGATAATAAAACTCTTGGTTCAGAAAGGGGTCTCAGTGCCTCGACCCCATGAAGTCCGCTGTAACTGTGTGGAATGTGTGTCCAGTTCAGATGTGGACAGCCTCCGTCACTCACGCTCCAGACTCAACATCTACAAGGCCTTGGCCAGCCCCTCTCTCATTGCACTGTCAAGTGAAGATCCTTTTCTCACAGCCTTTCAGTTAAGCTGGGAGCTGCAGGAACTGAGCAAGGTGGAAAATGAATTCAAGTCAGAGTATGAAGAGCTGTCACGGCAGTGCAAACAATTTGCTAAGGACCTACTGGATCAGACGAGAAGTTCCAGAGAACTGGAAATCATTCTTAATTACCGAGATGACAATAGTCTGATAGAAGAACAAAGTGGAAATGATCTTGCAAGACTAAAATTGGCCATTAAATACCGTCAAAAAGAGGTGAGTGTTGCCAGACTTGATCCATCAAAATGCCATAGAATTTAATCACACTGAAGCAAACTGCTACTTGCAAAATTAGTTTTGGGTTTTAGAGCATTTTCTATTCAGCTGTAAGTAGATGACATTTATTGTCTGCCAGATTAATAATTATGAGTCACCCTGAAGAGTGGAAATAAATGGTTTAACAATTGATATTTTTGGCATCTGTATTAAAATGTACACATTGACAATGGTATCATGAAAAAACTAATGAATTTTAAATATCTCCAGACTGAGATTTCTGGTTCTGCTGTTTATAAGTCCTGTAACTTTAGAGGGTCACAGATACATTTCTTTAAGCTTTAGTATTCTCATCTGCTTAATGGATTTAATATTAATATTTGATATATATATATATATATATATATATATAATCAGCCTCTATGAGTTTAGATTTATATAAACTCATAAACTCTGTATCTGCAGGTTCTGCATCCTTGGATTCAATCAACTGTGGATGGAAAATGCAGTATTCCTAGGATGTGGAACCTGCAGATATGGAAGGCTGATTTTTCCTATCCATGAGTCCCATAGGGCTAACTGCTGCAGGGCTAGGGCAGCTGTGAATTTTGGTAGCCACATGAGATCCTGGAACCAATGCCCCACATACTTGGGAACAACTGTATTTATATAGATAACATTTTTCTCCTAAGTTTTTAGGAAGTGTAAAATATGTAGATGTGTGTGAAGACACTCAGTAAATTATATGGTATTGTTTTATTTATATCAATAACATACATTATTATAAATTATTAATAAAAGAAAAGCCTTTAGTACAATAGCAGATATAAATACTAAAAGTTTTCTCATGTCTTGCTCAGTGTTTTGATTTGTCAGGAATAAGAAATCAAAGAAGTTCATCACAAGGGATTAATAAATTTCTTGTAAAATTCCCATAAATTAAGAATGCTCTATTAAATAACAGAATCTCATATCTCTTACCCTCAATCACCCAGCATAATTGGATTGTGTCTGAGTGGGTTCTCAAAAGACTGTTTTCTTCTCTCTGAAGAAAATATTGGTTCTCTATTCACCCTTAAATAATAGTAATTATCTATTCCAGAACAATACTTGCAAATACTATGTTAAAATGAAAAAAAGAGAAAAAGCAAAAGACTTCTGAATTGTAAAATCTACCCAGTTTCTTTTGAATTTGGCCTTGATGACGGATCCTACATAAGTCCTGGTTGCTTTGTCTGCTTCTACTCCCTAACTACTCAAGGTTTAAGATAACTGAATTTGCTTTCTTGATTTTTTTCCCTGTAGTTCTGTGATTAGATAAGCTAATCTAGTTGTGATGGGAGCCTGAAACAAGGTGACGTGAACAGCTTCTTTTGTATCCATTCCCCCTAACTCTACTAATTTTCTTAGGTTTTTATGTTTTGGACTCAAAGATCTAATACTTTTAAGGAACTAGAATAATTTTCCCACCCAACAATAAAATACATTGATAAAAAACTTCACATGATCACAGATGTGCAAAGTGGTAAATGTGAACATAAGAAGTCATTTCAGGCTTTAGTCTTGATAAGATATTGAGATATTGATGTGGTCCAAATCTTCTTAAAGGTCCAATTGTAGTATGCTTTGCTTTCTTTTTCTTTGGAGAGGGGGCTTTAAATAATTGAAAGGATGACTGCAAAGATCTTCTCTTATGCTATAGCCGTTTAGTTTTAATGTTGTCCTACAAATGTTGAATGGAATACATTTCCCAAGATGTTCCATTCACAAGATGAAAGAACACAGAAGCAGCTGCTCTGCTCACCTGCTGCTCTTTAGGTCTCTCTGCAGCCAGTGAATGAACTCAGCTTTATTTTTTGCCTGCCCTCATTTTGGTCATGCCGTCAGAGCTGATTGAACATCATCTTTGGCCACAGTAATTTTTGTGAAAGCCTAGGAACCAGATACTCATGAACTCCTTTGCCATACATCCTCATTACAGAATGTTATCAATGATACTGCGCTAACTGCAGCTGCCAAATTCCAGTCAGAGTTGTTCGAGATAGAAATTGTAATCTGAATTTCTTGCATATTTATGTTTCTATTTTTACCTACAAATCATTTAATACCCTTTGGTCATGCATTCATTTCTTCATTTAATAACTCTTTCAACATATATTTCACAGAGCACATTCCAGGCAATGCCCAGGGCTCTTGAGATTCCATGATGTCAGATGTCTGCTCTCACAGAGCTTATAGACTATTAGGAGAGACAGTAAAACATTGAATAGGTGTTTTCCATTTTGTTCCTGAACTGCCAAAAATGTTCTTCCTCACTAAACATTTTTTTCATTGTGTATGTTCCTTTTCATATTTATAACATGTTTATATTTATAACATATTTATATGTTATAAATATGAAAAGTGGATTCAATGTCAAAATCTATGAAAAAGCCACTACTCTAGTCTGGTCTTTAGTATGTAAGAAGTAAAGCAATGAAATGCATTTGATAATTTCTAACACTTCTCTCAAAATGTTTGTACTCTTGCTAATATGAGGATATGGGAGGGTGATAGAGGCTAATAATACAAGATAAAAGATAGCCAAAAAACATACAGCATGTAACAAGAAAATAAGAATTAGTGCTATTTTTTAAAAGATATTTTTTTGTAGATACGGGGTCTTCTTATGTTGCCCAGGCTGATCTCAAACTCCTGGGTCCAAGTAATCCTTCCAAAAAGATACAGTCTTAAAAGACATTGTATTGGCATTTTTTCCTTTCAAAATGTTTTGAGATTTCAATGGAGAAAATAATTAAAATTAATTCTTACACAGTTGTTCTGGAATATTTACTATCAAAGAGCATATTTTTCTCAGATTGACAATTTTTCCAAAGTGAAGTAACATTGGATAGCTGATAGCACTATTTTTAAAATACAAGAATAATATTTTACTTTCATATATATCCTTTAAAATCATAGGTTGTGTTTTACAACATGTATTCTTAGGTTAGTCCGAAATTATTGAATTCAAATATTAAAGATTTTCTAGTAAGATCATGTGCCTTAAATAAAACTCTGCTTTAGCATGTCTTACTTCATATCTTTCTTACCAAAAGTTTTCCTTGGTTTGGTCTAAACAAGTTTGAGGTTTGTCGTTAGTCCAACTCTCAGGATTTGGAATGCCTTCTCATTAACCTTAATTCACATGGATAAGTCCTGCACCCTCTTTAAAGATCATCTCACGTCTGGTCTCATCCCTGGAGCATTCTATGAAGCAAGCCCCTCCATAGACTGTTTGATAAATGCCCTTATTATACATACGCTGTATTGCATTATGTTATTACATTTCCAACTCCTCCTGTAGGCGGTGTCAGGAACATATCCATCTTATTCACTAGTCATACCGTAGCCCCTGACATACAGAAGGTACTCAGTAATGAATACACTTGAATGAAGTCACAGACGATCTTAGATCTGGATGGTTCCCTGCATGTTTCTTTGCCTGAATAAACTGCAGTGTTTAGGTTAATCTCCTAATAATAGCTTACTTATGAATCAAAATGTTAAAACAATTCAAGTTGCCAGGATTTGATTGCAGATTCATTCTAGTACTTCCCTTATCTCATTCAAAGAGAAAAGCCTGTGTTAACTGCATGCCATAGATGTTTTTACATTTTCATTTTATATATTCTTCCTAAGCAGCAGCCTTATAGAAAGAATAATTTTCTTATTTCTATTAATTCCAGGCTAATGATGCTGTAATTTTATTGATCATATATTAGTAGAGGAAACATCTTGTATCAATTCAAATGAATGTATGTTAGCAACTGGGTTGTTACATGATTTATTATATTAAACCTCCAAACACACTGCTTAAGTATGAACTATTTATGGGGTTTCTTTTCGTGAAAAAATCTGAGTCACAGAAGGTTATATAATGTGCAGTGTGATTCTATTAAATATTGTAATTAGATCTTAACTACAAAAACTTTGCTCTAACCATCAAACCATATTGCCTCCACCTGGACAACATCCTGCTGGAGGCAATATTGGGTAAACCTGAGAAAACTAAAGCTGCTATCCTAGTTTTCTTGAGCACATGAATTTATTTTATGACTCAGCTCCCCTGTAATGAAAGCCTTGCATTTCAACTTGAAGTTGCCTTTGTTTTCACATCGTGATGAAGCATTTGATTTCTCCAGAGGGTAAAGCCTACTTTTCCTTTCTTTCTTACTCCAGTTTTACATTTCTGTGTCAAACAATAATCTTTCAAGTATCATTCTGCAGTGGGACAGGTTTAAGGTTTAAGGTTGCTCCCTTGACCAACCACTTCCATCCCAATGTCAGTCAATCATCTAAATGAATAGTATCAAAGGAAGCTGGAAAAAAATAACACGTAGTCATACCCTTAAAACTGATTCTTCCCCTGAGTGTAACATAAAGGTGAGGTATGACTGAGGACATGTCTTAGGCAAAGAAATTGTCCCTTCGTTTCTGGTATTATTTTTGCAGATTCAGAGTCTGCGACAGTTAAAATTACTTCAATGCAGTCATTCCTCTTGCCTAGTATTTGTGAGATCACTAAATGTGAATAGGGAGCGTAATGTATTTGTTAACTATATTTTTAGAGCAAAGACCTTCCCTAGTTTTAGTTACCTGATTGACAATATTGTGAGGTGACTAATTAAAAGGCAGAGTGGCCTAGATGTTGAATAACAACAAAAAGCAAGGAAATACATTATTCTGTGTAAAAACATTACAATTCAAACTCTCTACAGCTTTTCAAATTAAAGTGAAAAGTAATCTCTACATAGCAAATAGCATAAGATACACACACACTCACACACACACACACGTATATTTAATTTAAACATAGAAGAAACATACGGGAAAAGGATATGGTAAATTGTATTGAATCTCATTCAGATAACCCAGTGTGTTAAATAAGAACACCAAACTAAGGAAAAGACATTACCAACTTCACTTATATAAATGACTCAGCTATGAAGGGAACACCA